AGCTTAGATAATCCTTCTACTAAAAGACTCGACCCTAAAACGGTTAGACTCAAATGAGATTTGTGCAACAAGGCCAAGTCAACCACTTTAAGAATGTTTAACCCTCACTGCATATAACTTAACATATTTATGCGATAGCTAACTTACATCAATATGAGTCCTACAAAGAACAAAGCAAGAAACATTCGAGCATCTAGCACTAAAAGCATCACATAACAGGAAGTCCTACCTCATAAGTTCTTGAAGATCTCTAATCACTAGCTTGCATCACTACCAGCTCACACAACATGCATAAAGGCATATATCCTAATCATGCATCCTATCATGCAACACTGAGCAGATCCTTAGCCCTAATCTAGCATTCAATTCTCATATACTCACATCAAAAATCAATCATATAACATACATGAGTATTTTAGGAAATACTTACTTGTGCTCAGCTGATTGCACACATCACACCCCTTTTTATTTTAAAAACTTTCTTATAAAATCAATTTCTTATAAAAATTTTTACCAACTCCTCAGTTTGAGTTCAAGCACACCCGAGAGTATGCCTGAATCCCTCAAACCATGGCTCTGATACCAACTTGTAACGCCCCAAATTTCAACCCAATTTTTTCAATTAAAACTTTAAGTGTTTATTCAAATCACAACTACAATATCTTAAAACATTTATCAGAGTATCATTTAAAAGTTATCATGTAAACAAGTCCGCATTGATGTGATGCAATCGAGTCGTGCCCCTCTTTTATTATAAGAAAACCTGAAACATTTAAACCACAAATCGTAAGCACAAAGCTTAATGAGTTCCCCCAAAATACCACACACAGCACAACACAAATAAACAACTATGGGTTATCAGCAACCCTAGAGACTATTAGCAGTCCCAGTGGGCAAACAGCACGCCCAGCGGGTTATCAGCAACCCTAGAGACTATCAACAGTCTTAGTGGGCAACAGCACACCCGGTAGGTTATTAGCAACCCTAGAGACTATCAGCAGTTTCAGTACACAATATCACATATCACAATAACAACAAGCAAGACCCGGCTGGCCAGCACACATATCTATATATTACCACACATGCTCATACAAACATGCAAGACTCACAAATACAGCTAGCATCCTACATACACAATTTGGTGAGTCGGCATTGGTGCCTTCGACTCACCAGCACAGGGAGGAAACTCATGTGAATCGAAGAACCTTGAATACTACGACACTATCCCTTCTCTGCACTGCTTGCACCCGCAAATCCACTAATACCAGAACCAGATAAAATCTTAATTAATAGCCCAAAACCCTCAAGTTTGACACAAGGTCAAACTCGGTCAAAAAGTCAACGGTCAACGGAAGTCAAATTCAACAAGTCAAACTTCAGGTTGAGTACGCCCAGTGTACTCAGCTCGTATGCATGGCGTACTCACCATCCATGGACGGGACTCCTCACAAGTACGCGCAACGTACCAAAAGGTACGCTCAGCGTACTCGGCCAAAAGGCACTTTTCCATTAAGTTCTTAACCTCTTAATCCCTTTCATCCAACACGTAGATTTAGTCCCACAACATCATTCTAAGTCATAAAGTTTCCACCTGTATGACTTTCCATGTCTAGAAAAGGTCCAAAAGCCAAAACCTTAACTTATTAATCCATTAAGACATCATGACACTTTCATGGATGGAATAGAAGGATCAAGATCACATGTGTATGGATCCTAAAAGCTCCATAATGGATAATGTTTCCAACTTTATCCATTAGAATGGTTCAAACCACCAAGATCTAGCCTTTAAGTATCAAAGGGACCAAAAGTGAATCTTTTTAACTTAATCCATTAAGTCCGAGTCTCCAACCTTCAGATCTGAATCACAATGATGTTTAGATGGATAAAGTTTCCAACTTTATCCATAAAAAGGTCAGAAACTTTCCAGATCTAAACTTTATGCACTAAAATGACCAAAAGCTCATAATCATCCAAAACTAGCTAGATCTAACAAATGCATCATCAAGATTCAAACTTTATACCTCTAGAAGAGAGATCAAGGTGAACAAAGTTTGGATCTACAAGCTCCATTGCAACCAGCACTTCTCCATAGAGTTCCTTCTTCTCCAAGGTGCACCATTCACACTCCAAAGCACTCAAAAGCACCTTCTTTTAGCTCACCAGGCTCAAACTAGGGTTAGGGTTTCATGGGAGGGTGTTGGAGAGGTTTTGGGGGAGTTAATGAGCTTAAATAGGGCTCAAACCACGAAATAGGGTTTAGTAACTGATTGCATACGCCCAACGTACTCCTGTTACGCCCACCGTACTCAGGATGCCCTAGTACACCCAGCGTACTCCCCCCTGTATTCCTAGCGTACTCAACTTAACCCAAAACCATCCAAACTTCAAACGGTCATAACTTCTTCGTTTCAACTCCGATTTCGACGATCTTTATATCCACGGAAAGGTATTGAAGAGCTCAACAATCCTACATAACTACTTTTGACTTAAAACACATCGAACTAAAATCCATAATTCATAAAAGATGTCTGGAACACTACTTTCCCATTTTACCCTTTGACTCTAAAGCATAAACCGAACTATTGGATCACATATCTACATCACCACATCTAAATGGGCCTAAACCTCTCTTCCCCAAAGCCCGAAGCCTTACGATACTTGATCTTCAGGTCACGGCCCCGAATTGTGAAATAACTCGAAACAGGGTGTTACAAAGGCACCATAAAGCACCACAAAAGCTCGGAATGTCACACATAGAGGCTAGTGTTTGGTTTAGGTCAAAAGGATGTGATGGAGGCTGAGGGTAAGCAAACTCTAGCCATCACATCCCTTAAATAGGGCTTAAACCCGAAAAATTAGGGTTTGCATGTTGGTCGCCACCACGTTGTGGCCTAGACCATGCCACATCGAGGTGTCCAAAATGATATGGGTTCTCGCCGGGTGATTCCACGTCGTGGTTCTTCACCACCACGTCGTGGACACCTAAAATCTCATATTGAAGTCTTGATTGCTAAGAACACAAAAGAAATATATATATATATACCTGGAACTAGTGTTACACTTAAGGTAAAGATGAGCGCAAATTATAAAAGAATAGGGTTGTAAGTTGATGATATTTTTGCTATAATAAGTAATGGGTTGTTTGCCTGCTGCAACGGGATAATTGGACAAAATTTGTAAGGACGTCATATTTATACATTATATACATAACCTCTGGTAGTGTTAGTTGGAGAGGATAAAAGGGTAATATTTTGCAATGTGATTCGAATGGTGACTCTACTAAGATATGAAGCCATGAAGCTTAAGGAGTCAGGGCAAGACCCTAAAGGTGGATATCATTGTAATTTTGGATATGGCCATTCTAAAGCATGTTTTTATAGCTATTTTTGAGAAACATTAATAACACAAATCAAAAACCGAATACCCCAAAAACTCCTAGAAAATACTCATTTTGATTTTTTGGACAGTTTGAACTTGTAATATGTAGGAATTATATTACAGAAATGTATGGAAATAAACAAAAAAAAAACAAAAAATGATGAGGCTTATGTTACACAGTGTTCTTAAAACAAATATATCTGTCATCGGGTGTTTGTTTCCCAGTATACAACAGCTGGTGGTGGCTCTTCTAGACCACTCCAACCCACCAAGAAAACGAAGAAGATGAACTAGAATAAAAGAGCGGTTGGTTGCATTTTTTGGTGTGTCTAAAATGGTTGTAGAGATATTGTATTATACAACAAACCATAACCGACAAGACAATTAAATCGTCATTAAAACACAATTCGTAACCGATATTATATTTAATATCGTTCTGAAATATGAATTGTAACCGGAAATTAAACAATAATTTTCAATTATGCACCAATCAACCCCTTAACTTTGGTGATTATTTTCAATTAAACATTTTTTTCCAACATAATATTATACTTCTAATATTAATATAAGGAAGGAGTAACTTAATGATCTAGCAAATGCAACTTTTTGATGTATGAAATGATTTGAAATATGATACAGTTGTATATCATTATCATTATCATTATCATCATCATTAATTGATGAAGAATCCGTTTTCCTACCTTTTAAATAACTACCTGTCTTTTTTCTTCTTTGACATTCTATACTTAGACTACTAATTGATTAAAGAAAAAGTTAGCAGGAGCATAAGTGGCACATGCTATGTAATACAAATCATAATAAGATGTGATATGTGTGAATTGTGATAGCAAATATAGTTTCTATTAGTAGTGTGAAAAAAACTTATGTTGTAAGCAAAAGTAATCAATGAACAAAAATGTATGTACCTTAATGTTAATAGCACCCTGGCCCTAAAACTGATCACTCAAAAGCTGATCAATTGAAATTTTTATAAAATTTAATACGGAGAAAGTTAAAGCAAGCAAATTTTTGTTAATGCACAATTTTTACTTGATGACAAAAAACTGCAAGGAAACAAAACTAAATAAAGAAGAAATTATACATCTTAAACTTAAGATCATACCTAAAAGAAGAAGGCTAGAAGTGCTCGACAAAAAGACCAAAAAATATAAAAATTAGAGAAAATTTAGTTATTAAATATGTTTATAAGTTTCATGCAAAACAACCCTTAGCATGTTACTAATGGAACTTTTTTACAACTTTCATAAATAAAATCCAGTAGACTGGGTTTAAGGATAATATATTTAAAGGTTAACATGAATATTTCATGCAACATTTAGTGATTCACGTCACAAATAAAATTCAATTTTTTTCCAAAGAAGAAGAGGAAGTAGATGTTGAATCGGAGCACGATGCTTGGTTTTGTTTTCGTTTAATTAGTTGAATGAGGGTTTTTGTTTGTCTGAAGTATCTATTATAAGATTGTTCTGGATAATCAGCTAATTAGTGTATACCAAATGATCTAAGCAACCATATTTTACGTTTCTTTAACATTTAAAAAAAAAATTAGAAAATAATTGTTGTACCAAAAATAACAATCACATAAATACACAATATCTATGCCAACGACTAAACACCTTAAATATACCATGTTAGAATTCAATAACTTTAATGTAACAAACCATAATAACAATTATTTCCATCACAATATGCTTTAAAATATAGAACCCCACACACACACACACACATCTTTACATATATCTATGACATACACACCCACACATCAATCACCTCCACAACACAGCTCACAACACGCAAAGCACCCTAAAAACGCCAATGCACCACACAACTGTGTCACAACAATCGCACATTGATCATTCATCTTTGAACAAACATTAATGCAGCACAAACAACAGCACTTCCCACATAGATTCACACAGCAGTTTCCCGCTGCTCTCACAAGCATTTCCGCTTGATCTGGTAACTTCGGTTCATAGCCAGGTGGCGTGTTCTCATTCGTCGCCACCAAATCCCCATACCCCACTCCCAAATGCTGCAACATTTTTATTATTTCCGTTTTTTCCACCACTTCCGTTTTCTGCGCCTTTCCCTGTAACAATTTGTATTTTTCACAAATTTAATTCTTAATTCCTTTTTTGTTTTTTTGCGAAAGTTAAGGTAATAAATGGTTACGTGTTTGACGCTGGATGACGTGGCGTGCTTTTCTTGGACTGTTTCTAACAAGACCATTCGTGTATGTTCGCTCACAACACCTGTCTGCATGCTGATTTTTGCTACCTATATTTTTTTTTAATATAATAATATAATATGATTAGATGTTATGTGTTTAAAATTTAAATACAAGATTTAATTGATGTTACTACTGACCTTCTCCTCGAGCTTTTTATCTTGTGAAAACCATGCTTGTGTTGTGTATTGTTCAACTTGTTGCTTTGCCAGAATCTAGTAGTAAACATTAAATTATAATATTATATAATTATATAATTTAGGGTTAATGTCATAAAAACCCTCAAGTTTTCAGGTTTTTGTCAGTTTTGCCCAAAGTTGAACTTTATGTCCGTTTTTACCCTCATATTTTCCAAAAAATGTTCGGTTTTACCCTTTTACCAGTGATGACAGTTTTTTCAGGTTACCATTATATTAACTTTGCAAAAAAAAACCCTTCAGTTTAAAGTTTTTTACATTTTTACCCTTAAGTTTATAATTTTTTACGCTTTTACCTTAAGTATTTTTTTTTTCATATTATACTTATTCATGCAGAAAAATCGTATTTATATACAATAAAAATGTTAAATTAAATATCATATATATATATATATATATATATATATATATATATATATATATAAAACATTAAAAAAAATACAATATTTAATCAAACATTTTTTTCGTGTATAAATACAATTTTTCTACATGAATACGTATAATATGAAAAAAAATACTTAAGGTAGAAGCGTAAAAAAATTATAAACTTAAGGGTAAAAACGTAAAAAACTGTAAACTTAAAGGTTTTTTTGCGAAGTTAATATAATGGTAACCTGAAAAAACTGTCATCACCGATAAAAGGGTAAAACCGAACATTTTTTGGAAAATGTGGATAAAAACGAACATAAAAATCAACTTTGGGCAAAACCAATAAAAAACCTGAAAACTTTAGGGTTTTTATGTTATTAACCCTGTATTTTATGTACTTTTTTAAGAAGAGCTATACCTTGTCAAGGGGTATGTCCTTTGACCTTTGGACCTTTAGGTCAACAGTGAAGGAACTGATATCTGTAAAAAGTCCTTTGACTTTTAGCATGTCTGGAAATCCACCTCTGTAATGCCCAAATATGATCAAAGGCCCTTCAGAACGAATGTCTGGAATAACTGAAGGATAAACCTGAAAAAAAATATAGAAACTAAAATAAGATTTTTTTCTAATTGAATAAAGTGAAATAAAAAGATATTGTGTGAAATTATACCTCAAGAGAATCAAGATCATCTAGACCATCGATTGCAATGTTTAATAACACTGTAGATGCAGCTCTAGAAAACAAAGCTTCCATTTGAGCTTCAATCAAATCTGATTAAATGATATTAAGCGATAAAAAAGAAAAAAAAATATATCAGTAACTGAGTAATATTCTTCCAATTTGTGAATTTTTTTGCATAAATGTTTTTCTTTATGTTGAAGAAATAAAGATTACCTGCATCAGATGCAAACGCATAATGGCCTCTGCCAATCATTGCAAGCATTCGCAAGAAGTACTGATTGCAGAATGAACCTACAATTAAATATAATAATAATAATAAGGTAATTTATCTTTTTTTTTTTTAATTAGAATTGTTAATTTGAATGCTTTAATAACTATTACTACATTTCTGACAACAGAATTTTAAAATGTAAGTATGTTTTTACATTAAATTCTAAAACATGACATATTTTCATAAGGATTAACTTTTTAAAATATGGTTTATTTCATGATGTTAAAATTTGTAAAATGTGTCATAATATTTTCAATGAAAATCTATTGAAAAGTCCTTATGTTTTGACCTCATTAACGATTTAGTCCTTATCTTTTTTTTTTAGACAATTAAGCCCCAAAAACTGGCAATTGTTTGCATTTTGACCATTTTACCTGGTAAACCAGTCACCAACAAAATATGTGGATTTTTTCGCAAATAATTCAAAATATAAGGATCTTTTTTAAAATATATATTTTTTATTTTTTAATAATATCTTATTCTCAGTATATATTTTTTCTGTTCTGTCTAACGGAGTATTTTCTTTGTCTGACAGATAAAATCTATTATGAAAATAATTTTTTTTCTAAAGATAAAACTAATAAAAACAGTTTTCCGTTAGACAGAAATATTATAAAAACAGTTTTTATAATATTTCTGTCTAACGGATTGTATTATCTTACATTAATATTATCGTATTTTCATTGTCTGACAGATAATATTTATTATGAAGATAGTTTTATCTTCTTCTAAAAATAATTATTTTTATAATATTTCTGTAACGGATTGTATCATCTTACATAAATCTTATGGTATTTTCTTTGTCAAACAAAGAATATCTATTATAAAAATATTTTTTTTCTTCTAAAAATAACCGTTTTTATAATATTTTAGTCTAACAAACTGTATTATCTTACATTAATCTTGAGGTATTTTCTTTCTTTTATATGGGATTGTTTTCCGCTTTGAAAAATCATGATTGTAAGATCCTACCAAAAGCATTTTAGAACAAAAAAAATATAATTTTGTCTATCAGTTTACCATTCAATTAATAATAAATACTTTAAAACATGAAAAATAAATACTTTAAAACATAAAAGACAACACATCTCTAATAGGGATCATTTTACCTAGGTGATCATACAATCATACGATCAAAATCGTGATTTTAACAACCTTAATATCATTTGTTTAACAAAGGTTTTTTTTTTCTAAAGATCATTTTTTTTGCGATTTTTAGATTTTTATGTTTATTTTAAAAAGAATATTGTAGATAATAGCAGAGAAATACAATAACATAATAGTAAGATAACTATATTGTGTTTCACAAAAATCATTACATTAAGATTATAAATAGATAATAAGATAATATTAAAAAATTAAAAATAATATTTTTTTTTAAAAATTATATTTTGATTTATTTGCGAAAAAGTCATCATATTCTATTGGTGACAGGTTTACCTAGTAAAAGGGTCAAAATGCAAACAATTGCCGGTTTTTGGGACTTAATAGAGTAAAAAAACTAAGGACTAAATCGTTAATGTCATCAAAACATAAGGACTTTTCTGTAGATTTCCCTATTTTCATAACAAAAATAATGTTATTAAATTGAAAGTACATTACTATAAATTAATTTTTAGAATATAAATATTCTTCCTAGTTCCTAATAACAAAACTTTTAAAAGATGAATATATCATACCTTCAATTTTTTAAATGAGGCTAACTTTATTTCTTATCAAAATAAGTCATCATTTAAGATAACAACTTTATATGATAACATGAGATCAAAAAAGATTAAAAAAACACCTATTGAAAAAAAAAAAAATCATTACCTATACCAAAGTTTTGTTATTAGAAAAAAGATTAAAAAAACACCTATTGAAAAAAAAATCATTACCTATACCAAAGTTTTGTTATTAGAAAAAAGATTAAAAAAACACCTATTGAAAAAAAAAAAAAAATCATTACCTATACCAAACGTATATATGCGTGGACACAAATCTGATCCTTCATTTCTTAGTTTCTTCATCATAACTTCACAAATTGTTCTCTCATTTTCCACAGCTCCATCTGTTATAAAGAAAATAATAGGAACAGATTGTTTGCTTCCAGATAACATCTCTACAGCCTGACAAAATAAAACCACAATAAACAAAAAAGTACCTTTTTTCTAGTTATGTTACATGAAAACTGAAATATCTTTTTAGTTAAAATTCAAAAAGAAAATAACCTTATCAAGAGCAATTGACATATTTGTCCCACCACCTGGAATAAAATTCATCCCAATCCACTCATTTGCATTGTCAAGAGCTTCCTTAGTTGCCAACTCCAAAGTTGATGAATATAAAAAAGTCTGATCATTAAATGCCATTATACTAAATGAGTCCTTTTGATCCAGTTTTGATAATGCTGTAACAACTGCAGTTTTTGTAGCCTCAATTGTCCTTCCCTTCATACTTCCACTTATATCCACAACAAATAGCACTTCCTTCTTCATAGCCTATCATGTGAAAACAGAAAGAATTAGCATATTTAAATAAAATGAATCCGTTTTTGTAACTTAAATGTTAAAAGAAACCTTTTTGCTGTGATCAGGTCCTGGAAATAAGTACAAAGAAAACATCTCCTTTTGGTCAACACTGAGTGATGATGGAGATTGCAAAAAGACACCACCAAATGCACTACTTGTAGGAACCTAAAACATAAAAAAAAATGATATTTTTAAGCTCTTATGATTTATCTCAAAGTAAGTGTTGAAGAATCTTACTGAGTATGTGAACTCAAAATCATTCCTTGACCAAGAAAGAACATCTGCTTCATATAAAAATGCTAGTTTCCCTACTTCACGTTTTTTCTCCTGAAATGAAGCAAAGTTTATCACTTGGTTATTATGAGAATAGTGATAAATTATGAAGAATGAAGGTTGATGAAAGTTACACCTTTAATGGATGACTGTTTGTCTTACACACAACTTCTGTACCCAAGCCGATGTTGACATTCAGTTGTATTTTTTCTTTTTTTGAGAGTTTCTTTCCAGCAGGAGTTACATACTCTGGGAAACTGAAAGGAACTTCCAATTTGAAATCCCTATTTTTATAGCTTAGTTTCTGGGACCATTTTACTTTGAATGAAAGATTTGAACCACCATCAACCTGGACAAGATTCATGGAAGTCAGACTAAGTTTGACTTTTACAATGATAAGAAAATCATGAGGTAGTTGCAGATTATAACCTGTGGTATTGTTATGGTAAAAATGTCAGGTTTCAGAAAGCCTCCATCCTCAGGTTTGGCTAAAGTTTGTGTTTCCCCCTTTTCATCCATGACAACTAGCTGTGTTTTATATGATTTGTTGGTTACTTCAACCTCTACACCTAGAATTGAACCCTGTTAGCCAAATGATGCTTAAATTACTTTAGGACAACAGATAAACTCCAAAATAAAAATCCCAATTCATTTCTTTAACTATAGCATCTTGTTACTCCTTTAAATTGCATGTCTTGTTCCAAGGTTTTCAGAATAAAAAGGATACCGGAGATACCATATGAGCTTAACTGATAGATGTAGAGAGTTTTTACGGGTTCATAAGGCTAGAGATACGAAGTATTCATGTTAAATATGGTGAAACTATAGGGGTTCTTTTCATGTATAAAAAACATGGAAGGTGAGAAATCACATGCTATGTTCTTCCTAATTTCTTAGTAACATTGTCCGAAATATTTGACTCTAACATTCCGACAACTTATTTTTTCGAATTATAGGGTAGAGCTATATATGCAAATAACAATTTCAAGCACAAAAAGTAGTGCCTTCTTTTATGAGTCTGTAAATGAGAATAAATTTGAAATTTCATGGAGTACCTCTAATCCCATCGGAACAGCGAGACGACAATCACACTTGGCACTCCCCATAACACAATGAATTCGCCATGAACCAGTCATCGTGACGAAGGCTGTGTCTAGATAACAATCAACCTCAATACCGATCCCGTTCATCTGAAGCGGAATCAACGCCGGCGGATCGCACCTGCCGTGCACGTGCGGCTGATAACTTGGGACGTCAGGGTTATCGACGATCCCTGGATTGGATATCACCGCGTAAACCATAGGCGACACCGGGTATAACAATCTCGAAGCTTTCTCCATCGCCGTAATAGGCTTCGGCGGCGCCACCGATCTGTCTTTGCCGAAGTATATACGTTTCGACAGCCTTAAGCCGTCTTCAACGCCGCTTGTAAAGTCATCACCGGACATGTTGAATTGTTTATGACTAGCAGGTCAACTGAGAGACGAATTTTGGAAGAATAGGGTTTTGGAGTGGAGGCGTAACGGCGAGGTTTTGGTTTTCCTTCAATGGAGTCGCCGACGTTTTGGTAATGATTTCGGAGGAAATGAATGGTGCCTGATATCTAACGGTCCTCAGACGACGAAACAGCTATCACCTTTGGGTTTAGGGCCCCGTCCACTTTTAGAATCAGAATTTGATTTTTTGGGTGAATTTTAAAAATTCCCCCTCAACTATTTATACGTATTCACTTTTTGTCCTTAAACAATCAATTACAAACTTTTTATCCTAAAAAACAATGATTCTTTTTCTTTTGTTACGCCAACAATCAGAGTCAGATAAAAGTGGTCCAAATTAAACTCTATGCTATTACAGTAGTTACGTTGTCATGTATGTTTAATTAAATAGTTTAACTATTTAATTACATAGTTTGAGTTTTGAATTCGTTTAATAATTATAATTAGTTCATGATATTTAATAAATTTAAATATAAAAAGTATTAAATATTGGTTTCTAATCATTATGGTACATTTAAAATGTTCTAGGAATAGATACAAAAGGTATTAAAAATACATTAGGACTAAATGTAAGTTATTACCAAGAGACATCTAAAAATAATATTTAGGACCAAGTAGAATAAGTCATAAATAAAAATAAAATAAAAGGACAATAGCTAATGTTCGTGAATAATGGAGGGGGTAAAATGTATCGTTTATTTGATTAAAGTGCAGTAACGTGAAATCCACCCTGGCAATTAACTTGTATAAGTTGCCCCGTGCCGTCCTCCGGCCGGAGAGATGTTTGGACGGTTTGGGTAGTGTTTTCCTATTATTTTGATTTTTTTATTCCTTACATAAAACAGTTAAAATAAGATAAATATTTAAAAGGTTATAATCAAAAAAAAATTTAGAAAGAAAAATATTATAGTACAATTTTAATCGACTAATTATAGGTGTAAATGAGTATACAACATATATAAATCAAAACAAAAAGGAAGTCGTATATAAAGACGAATACAAAAAAAAAAAAAAAAAAAAAGTCCTTGTTTATTCGTGTTTACTTGTGCATGTATATCTCATGCAAAAGGAGTCATTCCTTTCATCTTTAGGAAGTAGGGGTCGCTAAGACCCTCGTTAGTCTTGTTAGCACAAGACAAACACCACCTCCTAGCATGTGTTTCCGGAGATGTTAAGAAAATGTGTTTAGAGAGGTGTTAAGAAAATGTCCTTACCTTGTTAGCTAGAAGAAACAAAAAGGAAAGGCTGCTATTGGTCCTTTCTTTTTGTATTTGTTTTTGTTTTTTTTTCTAAAAACAAATGGCTCTGAGTGGTTCTTTCCCATTTGTTTTTTTTTTACAATCCAAGTATATATGTTTTTTAAGAAAAGCTGACATGTTTTAGTATGGTGTTAGAAATGTTACCACTCTTAGCCTAAGAAGTAAGTACGGATACAAAATACAAAATGAATACAAGAAGATGAACTAAGAAAAACTGACATGTTTCAGCTTTTTGAGTGACATTTTTTTTTTGATTTAACACATAATCTTAACATTTGGTAGGAAATGTTAACACTCATAGCACTCCAATTTTTTTTCTTTTTCTAATTTAATTTAATTATTTTATTTTAATAAACAAACATTTATTTTAATATTACACAAACATATTTTTATTTAGTTAATATCACGTAAAGTAATTACCTTTTGTTTATCTTTCTTGAAGACATAACTTCAAATTTGTTCAAAATTTTACTAAATTTATTTTGTTTCGCATCTTTTTCTTGAACAGATTCTACTTCTTCATGACCTTCTCTCAATTTCTCTAACCTATTTTCCATTTTCCAAAAAAATAAATTCACATAATGGAAAATAAATCTCAATCTTTCGATTCTATTCAATATTATCTAATATTTAACACACCCATTAGATGGAATCATGATTTGAAGATAATCTTAGGGATATTTGCAGGAAATAACATGAAATGGTTTGGTCTAAACTACATCATATGATCTAAACCTAAAATCTAAAACATAGAAACTGACAGTTATTGAAACAAAATAGGGGGTTTTGAGCAATCAATAGGAAAGAAGTGATGGGAACAACCAAATGGAGCGAAAGGAGCAGGCAAAAGAATAACAGGCCACAAAGTGACCCGCAGCGGCGACAGAAGTTGTGGAGCTTCATCCTGCCGCTGCAAAAAGCCCGGAAAGCGGTGGTGGTGCGGTGGTGTTTTAAATCAAGAACAAGAAGAAGAAGATGAAGAAGAAGAAGATGCGAACCCTTTTAAGTATTGCGGCAAAAACCAAAACCTCAAATCATAAATGGAATTGAGTCAAAGAATTGAGAACTAATCGACAGCAAGCCTTTCTCTTTCTCTCTCTCTCTCTCTCACACACACACACACACACATCTCACTAGTTCCTTGGCGAGATGTTCTTGGTGAGGCTCTTAGCATAACTTGGGGGGTGGTGTAGCGAGTTGCTAGCGAGGGTAGTGGCGAGGCTTAGCACCTCCTACTCCCTTAAGCCTAATCACTAATGAATGTGTGTGTCTACTAACAAATGGAGTTGGTATGGCTTTTTTTTAATGTATATGTACCTTAATATTGAAACGGTCCAAATATAATTTAGGTATGTAAAAACATCAAAACCGATAATTGCTTAAAGTATTGTGGTTATACTATAACTATTAGTTATGGACCAAAAACTGGCAGTTACTCAAAGATAGTAGAGAATATCAAAGTCCAGGGACTAAAAGTTCCAACTTCACAAACTAATGTGGTAAAAAGTTAAAGAAGGACCAAAAGTGGCAAAGTATTCAAACTTTTGTGGAAAAACTTTGAAAATTTTAAAAAGGGACAAAAGGTGATAAAGTGTTTAAAACTTAATGTGAAAATTATCAAAAACGAAGTGGCAAACTCTTGAAACCTTATGACTAGCAGTAGAGAATTTCAAAGTTAGGGGACCAAAAATGCTAATTCCACAAATTAGTGTGGTAAAAAGGTGAAAAGTGACCAAAAGTGGCTAAGTGTTAAAATTTTTATGATAAATACCAAAGATATTCAATTACAAGAATGATTGTCACTTAAAACAAATAAAAGCAAGTGGGTTTGATTTTAGAAACTACTACAACTAGTATGAAGCGTATTAAAAATAAATTCAAATAATAAAAAGCATTCCAACACAATGGTTATCTATTGTTATGATTCAAGTTATGATCATCAATAATTATGGTGCAATGATCTTATAAAGAATGAATTGTATTGACACCTTTTGTTTAGCCGTTCTAAAAATCTTCCATGTTTGTATTTAACCAAATGAAGTTCATTGATTAAACCTAATATGCAACATTAAGTTATAGCAGTTATGATCTTAGGGTACACATGTCGTTCAAAATGTTTTAATTATAGTGTATGAATCTATAATGGAATTGAATTCATAGACAAAAAAAAAATCATTAACTGTTCCCAAGAACGTTAGTAGAAAATTAACAAAGTGATCAATTTCATTAACAATCTAAAATGTTTCTAAACATAATCCATAACTGAATACAAGAAAACATACAAACAAAAACATTCAAGAATATTTAACATAATTACTTCACATAAAATTTTGAATCATACTTCAAGAGATAAACCATGATGTTGGAACTGGTAAGATTTACCCACACATAATTGTTGATTAGTGAAAATACTCGTTAGGGTTTTACATGTATTCCATTGCTTTAAATAATACAAGAGTATAAAAAATATACATAAAGGACCCTATACTATACAAAAATAATAATTTTTCAATGTTTTATCATTGAAAATTTTGAACGGCAGACCAAAAATAGTAAGTGTTGAAGCTTTTGGAGCAACACTCTAAACCACACATAGTATTCATTTTGAGGAACCAAAAGTGCCAAAATGTTTATGATTTGCAACTACCACAATATATTAAATTGACATATCTTAAATGTGGCAAAAGGACGTACTTCTTAATTGAATAATTGATAGGAATATGTCAAATATGATTCACATATTTGCAACTACCACTATATCTTAAATTGGCACATCATAAATTTGGAAAAAAAGACGTACGTCCTTTATGACATATCTTAAATATCGCATATACAAATGCAGTGCTTTACGAAGGTGAAGATTAACATATATAAAAACAACATATTCAAACTATAGTGTCGATCAATAATAACTTTGACATAAAAAGAACATATTCAAAATATTATCTCTCCATTCAGGGGCGGAACCAGGAATTTTCGACAGGGGCAGCACAAAAATAATTTCCCGATAAAATATAAAGAGTAATACCAAATTAACCACAAAAAAATCACTAGTCATATAAAGAGTAATACCAAAGAGGTTCACTTACATTCATATTACTGTTTGAATAATGAATCGATCTGTCATAAGTGAAAACAATTTTTCCTTTGATACTTCACCTACATCTTGGCTCCAACATAAATTGTTTCTCAATGACAGAATGTTACCTACCAAAAATTGCAAAACTTTGATTCAAAATGTAGTTTTATCTATATGATCCAGCAGGTTTATAACAAGCATACAATCCCAATCAATGAAACAGTTTTTTGGCTCCAATCTTTTCCAATTCGTGAAACTATTTGGTCACCTTTACAAACTATACTCTAAAATCTTGTTATCCTTAAAAATAATATAAGCAAGTTGATTACCAGTTACAAGCTAATTATGTATGGAATATTAAGGAAGTCTCATTAACACTCAAAAATATGATGGATCTTGTCCTTATTGTAGCATTCTAGAAACTTTACAAACTTTTGATTCGAAAAGGTTTGTAAATTCCTCCATGAACATTAACAACTAAACAAACAACAATGATCAAAAGGAAATCAGTTTGAAAGGATAAAGTCTATGTATGGTGTGTCCACCTGCATCATATTTTAGATATAAGCAGTAAAACAATAAAATTCATTTGAAATACACAATAAAAACTATCACAACAAAATTGAATCAACGACACCCAATGAAACAACACGTGACTTTACTGCATTATAGTCATCATATAATGAGTAAATCATGAATAGAAGTGCCTTGCAAAGTGTCTTTGAGTCAAAGAATCATAGAAAGGGCGCCACTTAACTTTCAAAGTCTGAGACCAACTAGCTACACATAAATTGTTAGCTATGATCAAAGAGACCAATCTGTTTAGATCTAGTCATTTAGGCATAACATCAAACACTTGTAAGGCATAATGAAATAACCCTGAACACTTACCGATTTCCAGCAATAAGGGATTACCCAAATGAATTAAACTTATTAACAGTTGCATATGAAATCGATCATGTGAAAAAAAACGAAAAATACCGAAACCCATTTGGAATCTAAGTCCAAAAAGAAATTGGGAAATATAAAAAATAGAGGATAAAGTGGGTTTAAAACACGTACTCATCTGATTCTTCATCTAATCATCTTATTTGGCAATTGACAAGATCTAAGGAGTATCACATGGGTAATCTAGTAGTAGCACTATGAGAACATCACAAAAATTATATTTCTCGGAAAAACTTGAGGGGTAGCACAGGCTACCCTGGCTACAAGCTGGTTTCGCCACTGTCTCCATTGAAATAAGTCTTAAATTAATTATATCTTTGCCGGTTAATACAATGATAACGATGTTAATTTTTATACAAAATATGCAATATAAGATTAAAAGTATCTGCGGTATTTATTATTATTATTATTATTATTATTATTATTATTATTAAGGTTGTCTTATCTTATGATTCAAGGTTGTCAAAATGACGATCTCGATCGTAGAATCGTAGAATCCAATGTAAGATCGTACAATCCTAGGTATAAAAAACGTGTTGGATCGTATACGGATCATATTTGGTGTAGGATCACATGTAAGATCGTAAGATCGTAGGTAGGATCATAGAATCGGGATTTGATCCGAGCATACTTTCACATGATTTTTTTTAAAAAGGAAAAAAAATAAATTTACCACCTTATGTCTTTTTCTGTTTACTAGTTTACTGTTTATCATTTGTATTGTGAGTTGTGACTAATTTTTTAAAGTTTTTAACGATATATATATATATATATATATATATATATATATATATATATATATATATATATATATATATATATATATAGAGAGAGAGAGAGAGAGAGAGAGACCTAGGTTCAAATGTGGATTGACATCTATTGTGCGGACATTTGGACAGTGTTATTCTGTGAGAATGAAACATAAAATATGTTGTTTGGTAATGTGAATACGTTCAATCTTACATAACTATTGTTATAATCACGCATTCTCACTAATTCAATCGTCTATAAGGTTATTATAGACTTTTTTTTATTATTCTCATTCTGTCATAATTTTGTTAGAATGTTTATTGAATCGTATTCTGTAAGAATGAAAATGAGTAAAAAACGATACGTGAGAATAAAAAAATAAATAAGAATTAGTGAAAATGCATGAAAATGATGATAGTTGTGTAAGTTTGAACGTATTCACATTAGCAAACAACCTATACTTTTAGTAATTCTCATATAATAGCATTGTCCACATCTCCGCACAATAGTTGTCCATTCACATTATAACCTAGTATATATATATATATATATATATATATATATATATATATATATATATATGTGTGTGTGTGTGTGTGTGTGCGCGCGCGTTTTGGCGCATTTATTTTTACAATTGACGGACGATTTGGTTGATTTTTCATATTTTTCTTAATACGAAACTTATATTATATCTTAAATGTCTATCGCGATTTTGCGGCGTTACAGCCTAGCATAACGATTATGTACAATAGTATTCGTTAGATTTGGCCAGCTCTAGGTACTATGTTACCCTACAGAAATGGCTAGAGTAATGACTAAATATAATACTATTCTTTAGATTGGGCCAACACTGTATACTATGTTACCCTAAAGAAAAGGCTAGAGTAACGACTAGATACTATGTTACCCTAATGATTCGATCAGCATAGCAACTAGTATAATATTGTTATAGACTTTTGGCAGAGTATCTACCAGGTATAATATCATCCTAACGGTTGTGCAGCATAACAACTAGGAATAATATTACCCCTAAACATTAGAGAATGTATCTACCGGGCATAATATTATATTAATTTTACTACGGAATAATTATATCACTAATGTTATATAATTAGTAATTATAAAATAACATACTATTATAACATGTATCCCCCCCCCCCAACACACACACACACACACACATAAAACGTGTAAAAGTTGGGTCGTGAACTCACCCTTGTAGCGTGCTTTATTCTATATTTTCTTCTTTCCGAAAAGTGGTCAGGGGCTCGGGATTTCTCGGGCTCGAGGGAAATTATTAAACAATTTTAATAAAAATAAAAGGAAGGAAATTTCTAAAAGAAATTGAGGGAGAGAGGGAATCAGTCGAGAGTTGAAGGTGAGTGAGGAAGGAATGAGGTCTACTGCTCCTTTTAGAGTTGAAATATTTGGGAAGTACCTCGTGCAACTTAGGGCGCGCCGTGCACTTGCTACGTTACTCCAGTCTGCTGCTGCCACATGTCTGATTCTGGTAGGTCCGCGTCGCCCTTCTAGAAAACATGTGTGTTGCGCACCACGCGATGAGCGCATGCTGAAAATGTTGATTTTTGTAAATTGCGTAACTTATTCATACGAGCTCTGTTTTCAATGTTCTTTATATAAACGTATAGCTATCACCGAGTACTAAAACATTCATTTAAGTTGCATTGACTATTTTTGACTCTATTTTTAGCCTTTATTTTTACATATTTAAATGATTTTGCAAAAATCATATATCTCTCATACGGACTCTGTTTTTATTATTGTCTCAAAATTCTTATCTCGAAGGAGTACTACGATTATCCTTTTGGTGACTTTAGCTAAAGGTTAATCTTTCTCTTCGTAGTTTTTTACGTTGCAACTTTTTACGCGTGGTTGATTTTTACATCTATAAAAATCATATATATAATTCTTATGGAGTCGGATTTTTACAAAATTCATATTTTCGGGATCGGGAAGATGTGTGTTTTTGGAATATGTTATTATTTATTCAAAATAACCTAACTTTTCGTGCACTTATTTTTATAGGTTACACACGGTTTTGCTGATTTTTCTTATGCATCTTAATACGAAATATTGTATTTTTATCTTAGATTGATAAATATTACGTACCAACTCTATTATACTTGGTGTTTGTCATTTTTATCGGTTAACGACTAGTGACAACTTTCACATTTGTTACAAATGGGTCCCCGATAGTGGTAGATAGCTTGAGCCAAGAATCAAAACATGTTTTCTTGTTTGGGAGTGAGCATGTTCTTTATAGGAACATCATGTATGTTTGTGCATTTTAAGGTCAAATTAACGTCATATGTGTGTAGATTCTGCAAAAAACCAGAAAATGATAAGTATATTCCAGTTAGATATAAAAAGGCAACAAATCTTACATTTTGAAAAATAACATCTCGTTTTCCAATCGAAATTTTTTGAAGCAATGATTTTCAAGGAAATTTCGATAAGGATCATAGGATCAAAAAGTTTTTCGAGGTTTTTCCCAAGAGCTTTAGTCAATAGTCAACACTTAGATATTATTATAAAAAATCACATATTAAAATTTAAACTAAAAAATCACATATTATTATAAAAAATTATTCTAAGAACTAACTTATTGGTGATTGTTTTACTTAAAAACCAGAAGGGTACTTTCAGAACGTGCGTAATGAATGCATTTTTCTGTCAGAAGGCATAGAAAAAGGTTGGAAATTTTAATGAATAATAGATCATACCAACTTATATAAATCTTTCTTTTTACAATTAAAAGTAACAAAAAAATTTGCAATTAAAACATAGAAATATAACTGTGATAACCGGTTTCCGTCATCTGAATGGCGTGAGTTTCATTCACCGATAGGATTGATAGATTTCCAATAGGATTAACAGGCAAAAGCAAAAAAATTGGTCCCTTAAAAATGATATATTTTAATTTTCATCAACATTTGCATAAAAAAAACCTGAGATTGCTGGAACAAATACATCAGTTGAGAACATATGTAGACGTCAATCACCATCTCATACTCTGATTCAAGAAACTTTGATTTCCTGTCCATTGGTATTATTCCCTACTGAAATCGATCATCAGTCAATCAATAATTCAAATTATATTTAACAAATTCAAACATCTTGATTGAGCCAAATAAATAGCAGCATCCTTATCAAAATCAAGCTTAAGTAAAAAGCAAGTATGATGTAGTGATTAATAGAGTTCCAAATTCCACTGTTTTAAAAAGTCCTAAACTTAAATCACCTGTGAGATTAATATCAAGGTTGAGTATATGAACGGAAAGATGATCTTTCATAACAGTAAGTGAAAGATCAGATTAACCTAGAAAATAACTAATGAAAATTCATCTCATAGCAGTACTTTGGTAGGTACAATAATACGATATTGCCTATCAACTTGAACCGGCATGAAGTGAAGAATTAAATTAAGCAAAAAAAAAAAAAAAAAAAAGTAAGTAAAAACTATAAAAGTAGAGTAATTGTGTGTCACAAAGAAAAGAATATAAATGAAGGGCATCTTAGCTTCTTAAATATTTTTCACAGCAAAATAGCCAAAATTACCTCTTCATCCTGTTGAAATTTAGCATTTTTTACATGACAGAGCATTAAAAGCATAAAAAGAAAACACAAGGTATACAATCAGATAGGTGTGGTGTAAATGAGACTGACCTTGGTAGATGCCTGAGTTGTCAAAACAGAACTGCAACCATCTTCATTGGTAAGGTGAATTGAAATACAATGACCCTAAATCAGAAAGAATGATGCAGTATAAGAAAGATCAGTCAACCATCTGTAGTAACAAAGTAGTTAACCCAACAAACCTTATTGTACAAAACCCTGATTTACAATTGACCAAAGTAAAACTAAAACTTAGATTAACTACTTGTGACACAAAATTTTAATTTATCAAGGTAAATCTGATAAATGAAGCAATGATAAAAATTACCAGCAAAGAGTAGGTGGGTTAAATTAACAATAAACGAAACAAAAACTTTGAAGCCACATCAAATATTAAAATAACCATTAATAAGATCCTAAATTACCTAACTAAAACTTTATAATCACACCAAAAAGTACTGGATGCAAAGAGTCATTGAGTTGGAACACCATGAGATGAAAAGGGCTATCTACCTCTTTCAATCTATATTAAATTCTGATAGTGAGACAACATCAAGTTGGAAATTGAACTTTATAGCATTAATTAGGGCAACCATATAGATCTTGTTAACATTAATCTCAAAGCTTTAACAAATATCACTGAAACATTCAATCATCTTTTAAAGTCAATGTTAAAATTTTGTCTACACTCTAGTCTATAGTAAATGGAGTAATATTTTAAAGTCAATGTTCAAATTCCGATTAGTGTTATTATAATGGGAAGACATATGTAATTGGTAGCAGTTGATCGACTTGTATTCATAGTCATAATCACCAAGCACTGATAGATTTGGCTAGGTTTGTTTGATTACTTCTTCCTAGATTCTTCATCAGGTCAATATAGGTCTGATTAGAAGAAAAAAATGTTTACACAGAGTCAAAGATTGTGAATTCTTTCAACATTTGGTTGTTTTAATCAAAATAAGGAAAGGAATCAAATCTAAAGTGGAGTAGAAGTTAGGTTTTGACATGGATGCTTGCTTAATTCGAAAATTTTGTTCAAAACTGTGAGTACATACCTTCAAAGTTGAAGGCAAGTAGGAATTCACCTTCATACTGGAGAAAGGTTCAAAGTAAATAGATTGAAATTAAAGAAATTACGTATTCACCACCAACAACAAAAACATCAGGAACACTTCTGGTTGACGTCAAATCATAAGTATAATCTCCAATAACAGAAAATCCCCATGAAAAAACGCCCATTAACAATTGAGAGAAACAAAAGCGGTAAGCAAGAAAGGTTGGCGAGTACCAGGTTGCTGTCGTGGTTGCTGTGGCCCTAAAACTGAAATCAAATAATCTGGCCCCATCGATGGTCCAGCTCCAACAAACCCATGCCAAGTCAGCTGCAACTAAGAATTCAATCGATGTGTGAGCTAACTTCATAAGAAGATAAGTGAATACATGTTGTGATAGCAAAGAAACAGATTACAGGCATCATCGGTGGTCTCCAATCCCTAATTTTTAATACGGATGCATCAAAGAGAGGTCGTGGGTCAGTGGAAGAGAACCAATGGCGGACATTGCGGTGCTCCTAGGTTTGAAGCTATGTTACTTCCTTACCTTACCGATGAGACCTGAGATTCGAGTTGGAATAAAAGGGCACAGACAAGACGACAGGAGTGGAAGTGATCAACATTTTTATATCTCTAAGGATTCTATTACAGCAGAAGTGGAGTAAGAGAGGAAAACGAAAGTAGAAGAGAAGCAAAATCGAATCGATTGCAGAGAGAGAGAGGGATGAAGAGAAAAAAAAAGAGTCTGTAGTCAAAGGCGGTGGAGAAGAAGTCATGAGAGGCCGATTTTGGAAGAGGGATGCACTGACCGATTGGAAGAGGAATGCGGTGGCCGATCAATTGTAGTCATGGCGACAACGATGGTCTCGACGGGCGTTGCAGTTGGAAGCCGGAGGAGGATATGGTAGTGACTGTAAATGAGTCGGTGGAGACATTTGAAGATAGAAGCATCGAGAAAGCAAAAGAAAGTAAGGGATCTTTGTAAGATAATGACATAAAAGGCCCATTTGTAAAAAAAGAAACGGAATTGACAATACATACATAAACACGGGACCATTTTTGCCAATCCCTTAGGAACTTTAATGTTGGACATTTTTAATATATATATATATAATATATATATATATATATATATATATATATATATATATATATAATAATTGTTAAAAGAAAATGAAAAAGAAAAAGGAATGGTAAGGTAGTCTTTTTATATGAAGCAATGACCAAACCTGCAATATTCATAAACCACAGAAATACAATCTATCAATTTTTAAACATACAGACCAAAATTACAAATTTGACCAAAACACAGAGACCATTTCTGTAATTTACTCTATTTTTTTACTTGCCCTCCAAAAATGGCAGATCATCTTTTTTTTCACTTGTAATTTTCTGAATATTTTTTATTTTTTTAAATAATAAAATTGATAAACATATAATTAGGAATCAAATCATTACCTTAACCCATCTTCTAATAAGCAGTAGATTTAATATTTTTTTATTCCAATTACTATATATAGGCAAGCCAAGGCCGGTCCAGACGGTGGGCAACCCGGGCGACCGCCCAGTGCCTACGTCTCCAAGGGGCCCAAAAATTTTGGGCTATGTAGTGTAAATATATAAAAAATTATTACCTAAATGATGTTTAGGACCTAAAGTTGATTTAAATTCAAACTAACTCAAAAGATAAACAATTTGACTTGTTTGTTATTGCTAATTGAACGTGTGAAGAATAAATGATTTTTTTAATCCTTATTATATTTGTCTTTAAGGTGCATTTTTTTTTTCTTTTCGCCTCGGGCCCCATATACGTTTGGACCGGCCCTGAGGCAAGCTTCTGCTTAATTATTTTTCGGAATCAATAAAAATATATCTTTTTGCATCAATGATATTTGATTTATTTTGTCCTTGGTGGTTGTGTGTAATCCCCAGAACTACAACTGTACTCTACAAGGCATTTGCTATTCAACCATATTTATTTTTGCAATAATAATATTTAACTTATTATATTGATTAAAACTTATCGAGTGATACGTGCCTTTAAATTATATATTATTTATTTTTGTTATATTTTCCTTATAATTCGTATCCAAAATTAAATCGGATGGATCTGGATTTTGACCCAAATTTCTTGCTTCTTCTTCTTTTCGCTATTCGGGTACGGCACCAATGCGGTAGGTAACTGGAGGTGGAGGTTTTTTGACATGAGTTTTATGAGAATTCTATCTTTTTTTTTCTTATTGTGTTTTAACGTTTTTGATACTTAATACGTGTAGTAATATGAGTCTTATACCTTATATCAATATAAATCTTGATTCAAAAGAAATATTAATTATTAATTCTAAAAGTATAATTATTATCTCACCTTTAAATATGATTATTTTAACAAATATCTCTTGTATTATTATTATTATAGTAATATTAATTAGACGTAGAACTAAATTTAGATGGCCGGGCTCTATTACGGTATTACCTTCCAATTTATAAGGATCTTGTCCAACTTTTTCATATACGCTTTCTCCAATGTTTTTAAAAACTGGTTTTTTTGTTGAACCGGTATGACGACCGGTTTTTGGTTCGACCGGTTTAACCGGTTCGACCGCCGGGTGAACCGGTAACTATAATTTTCATATTTTTTTCTATTTTCCTACACACACATACATACTACATACAGACATAAATCAAGAATTTGACGTGCATAAATTTAAATATTAAAAATACACATAAAACAACTTATAAATCAATCCAAATACATTAAAAAAACACATAACTATAAGTCTTACATCAATCCATGTGTTTTTATTCAATTTAACCGGTTCAACCGGGTTTTTTATAAAAACCGGCCGGTTCGTTCCGGTTCAGAAGTAGACATAAAACCGGTGCTAATTAAACCGCTCTCTTCCCCGATTCCCGGTCCAACCGATTCGACCGGCTGGTTCAAACCGGTTTTTAAAACATTGGCTTTCTCAATAATGTTTGCACAATCCATAAGGAAGTTCCATTCAATTAACCAAAAACACTTATGTATTTTTTTCATTTTGTTTAAATAAATTATTTACTCCTGGTAAGAACAAAATAGAATCTAATACTTTTGTTAAATTAATGTCACGTGGTCTACCATCTGACGTGATAAATGATCTGATTACAACTACTATTTTCTCCGGGTGATGTTATAAATGATCTGGTAATAAACACAAGTTTCAACTATTTAATTACTATATTTATAGTAACATTCTTTTAAAACATGTTTATCACAGGGAGATATTTTCAGAGTTTTTTTTTTTTTTTTTTTTTTTGCTAAAACACTTTAGTTGGAATATTTACCAACTAAAAGATATTTACTTGATAATTGTAGTCATTGTTAAAAAGAAAGAAAAGACAAACAAATTAAAACATAACTCCATGTTGATTGTTGAAGCTCAAGCACATATTTCCTTTACCGGCCACGCGCTTCTTCCTCCTCGAATTGACTTCTCCTTTTTTCTTCGGGTGGGCTACTGGCCCTTTGTATGCCATTGCCCAATGGCTGTTCTTCACTTTTCTTTCTCCCTCACCGACGACCGCCTCCTTGTAGCTGTTAGATCCTAGCGAGTTGTGCCTCCCTACATCGACCTTTGTTGGTAATCCATTCTCTATTTGTTCTTTCTAGAAATCCAATGAAATATGCATTAGTTTGTGTAACACGTATTAATGGAACATGTTAGTTTCTTTACTTTGTTTCCTAAATTTTGGACCATGAACCACTATTTAAACACACTTATGTCATTTGGACCAAACCCTAAGCAGCCTCCATTGCCTATTTTCCTCCTTAAACCCTATATTTGCAAGAGAGTGTGAGTTTTGAGCTTAAAGGTGATTTTGGTGGCCATTTTAGTGGGTTTGCAAGAAGGAGAAGGTGGTGTTCAAGCCTTGGACTTGGGAGGAGCTTTTGGATCCTACATCTAGATCATCTTGGAGAGATTTTGAAGGTAAAAAGCTTACACCTTGCTTATCCTTTTTGTTTGTTGGGTTAGGGTTTTGTAGAAGTCCACTTTTGAGTCCATGAATCCTCTCTAGTGAGTTGGAGCGACTCCAAAGGTTAGGAAGGTTGGATCTGAGGTTCTTTGGAAGGTTAGGAAGGTTAAACTAACATGCAATGATCCTTTTTGTAATGTCAATGCACCAAAGTCACAGAGACTTGGACAATGATATTAAAAATCACTCCACTGGAGATTGTTACAGGACAATTCCACAGATACGAAGTCTCATATTCAAAGTACATTCCTTTGAACATCCTTCTTGCATGAAAGTTTCTAACTTACCTATAGATTCTTAATATCCAACTCCCATTATGGAAACATTTCTATATTTTCCATGTGACAATACTATCTATTCATAATCATGTGAATATGGTCCATTCATTACTATACTTCCAACTGTCCGTAAGCAACCAATCTTTGGCGAACCTTGGATTGTCCTTAACAGTTGTTTAACAACTTCGGTCATATACGGTTTTGGTCCATTTTCCTTCTTAATGCCCTAGGCATTTGGAAAATTCAGAACACGCAAATATTATAGCATATGTAATCGATCCTATACCCGAAGCATATGGGACACGATTTATAATGTCTTACATAAAGACATGATACTTTACCAGTCTCTCGCTATAACATTTCCATATATAGAATTTCCTTATGTTGAATCATTTCATCATAACATTCATATATGTTCATGACTAAATTCTATTAAATTCTCAATCTAAGCTTTTAGATTTGAAATGAAGTACGATTTCCTCTCCCTTAATTATAGCAAAACAATTTTTTTTCAAACTGTGCAACTTTGCAAACTTTTGTTTTCTATAATTAGCATTGCTAACTCGCAATACTTAACGTAATAATTATGCTCCCACTAGCATAATAATTACATTCTTACAAGCATAACACGTATGCTCCCACTAGTTTTGACATGTACCCAGAAATCAGTTGGACTTCTAGAAATCAATACTTATTGACTTTCTTTCCAAAGTTTAGATTTCTGATATAAGATGCTTTGACAAGACC